TTTTTTTATTAAATTTATTTAAATTTATATTATATTCTTTATTATATAAGTTTCTAAATTAATATTATAAATATTAATATTAATTTATTAGAAATATTTAATATCTAATATTAAGTAATTAATTAATATTTTAATTTTAATAATTATATAATTAGATATAATATTTTTAAAACTTCTATATTATTAAATTTATTTAAATTTCTATTATATTATAAATTATTTAAATAATAAAATTATAAATAATTACGACTTAATATTTTATAGTATAATTAAATTATAAAATTTTAATTTATTATATAATACTAAGTAAGTAAATTTAACTTTAATTTTTAAAATTTTAATTTTTATATAAAATATTAATTAAATAATTTTATTATATTTTTTAGATTTTAAGAGATATTAATAATTTAATATTAATAAAAATATTTTATTTAATCTTTATATTATTAATATCTTTTTAAATATTAATAATAAAAATATAAACTTATATATTATTATTAATTATTTTTAACGTAGAATTTAATAAAAAAATAAAAATTTTAAATTTTAAATTTTAAAAAAATATTCTTAGAGAAGCTTAAACTTCGAATTTTTTAATAAAAAAAAATAAAAAAAAAATCTTTATCTTATTATAATCTTTTATTTAAATAAAAAATTATATTAAAAAAATTCTTAATTTCTACTATTAAATTATATAATAGAATAAAAATTATAAAATATAATAATAACTCTAAAAGAGTAATTAAATCTTTCTTTAATAAATAAAAAGCGAAATAAAATATAATTTTTAAAATTTTAGATTTTATATATAATTCTAATTAATTAAAATACGTAGTTTTTTAAAGTTTTTTAAATTTACTATATAATCGTTATTAAATAAATTAATAAATTAAAAATATCTCTTAATATCTTTCTATTTAAAATATATTTAAAAAAATATAATATTTTAAAAGATAATTATAATAAAAAATAATTTTAAAAAATATATATTAAAATTATTAATTTCTAGAAGTTTTTATAATATTTTTTTTATTTTTTTTATTTTAAATAAAATTAATACTTTAATAAATATTTAAATTTATTTTAATATTTTTAATATTAAATAATTTAATTATAATAGAATTTAAAATTTTAAAATTCTTTATAATCTATAAAAGTTAAATTATTATTATATTTTTAGATTTTAAATATTACTTTTTATTAAATAAGAATATTTAATATCTAATATTAAGTAATTAATATCTTTATTTTAATAATAAAATAATTATATATAATATTCTAAAAATTTAAATATTATTAAATTTATCTAAATTTTTATTATATTATAAATTATAAAAGTAATAAAAATATAAATAAATACGATTTAATATTTTAGAGTTTAATTAAATTAAAAAATTTTAATTTATTATATAATATTAAATAAGTAAATTTTAATCTAATTTTCGAAATTTTAATTTTTATATAAAATATTAACTAAGTAATTTTATTATATTTTTTAAATTTTAAAAAATATTAATTATTTAATATTAATAAAAATATCTCGCTTAATTTTTATATTATTTATAACTTCTTAAATATTAATAATAAAAATATTAATTTATATATTATTTTTAATTATTTTTAATATAGAATTTAATAAAAGAAAAAAAAAATAAAAAATTTAAAATATTAAAAAAATACTCTTTAAAATAATTCGAACTTCGAATCTTTTAATAAGAAAAAGAAAAAAAAATATCCTCTATCGTAATATAGTTTTTAATCTTAATTAAAGATTATATTAAGATAGAGAATTCTTAATTTCTATTATTAAAGTATATAATAAAATATAAATATTTAATATAAATAATAACTCGAAGTAAGATAATAATTATTATCTTAATAAATTTTAATTAAAATATTAAATAAATTTTAAAATTTTAATTTTTATATATAATACTAACTAAGTACTATTAGTATTTTTTTAAAATTTTTAAATATATTATATATTTATTACTAGATAAATCGATAAATTAAGAATTCTCTTAATATTTTTTAATTTAAAATATATATAAAAAGATTTTATATTCTAAATAATAACTTTAAAAATAAATTTTTTTTAAAAATATATATTAAAATTCTAAAATTTTATTATTATTTTTTAATATTTTTTTATATTTTTTTTTAAATAAAAGAATTAAGTAATTAAATATTTAATTTTATTTTAGAAATCTTAATAATAAATAGATTAGTTTTAATTCGATTTTTAAAAATTTTAAATCTATAAATAATATTAATTAAGTAAATATATTATTTTTTTATAAAATAAAATAAAATTATATATTAATTATAAGAAATAAAATAATTATATAAAGTTCTCTTAATATTAATAAATTAGAGAAATAATTTTATATATAAATTTTAATATATAAATTTAAGATTTTATAGCTTAGCTCTATCTTATTCTATTATATATATTAATATATTAATATTTTATATTATATTATATCTTTTCAACTAGTAATTATATATATTTATTCTATAAATATATAAAATAATTAATATCTTTTATATTATATTATAAATTTATAACTTAATAATTTATTTTCTTAAATTATAATATCGTATTTTATATTCTATTTTACTTTATTCTTAATATATAAGATTATTTTTAAATATATTATAAGAGTATTATAAAGACTTTATAGAAATATTATAGAAGTAATAGTTATAAACTATTATAAGTTAATTCTTTATACTCGATATATCTTTCTAATTAAATCTTAGCGCGTCTCTCTTTATATATATATATTTATAAATTATATAAATTAATAAAGTAACTTTATATTATATTAATATTAAGAATTATTTCTTAATATAAATTAATTTAATTAAACGCTTAGCGAGGGTAACGAGATACTTTTATTACCTCGATAAAAAAGCCCTATTTCGACTCGACTCTACTCTATTGAAATCTTACTCGGAAGGGTTGATGGCGCAAATGGGGGTAGATACGATTATGCTGAGTGTATTAACCCGGTGTAGGCCTTTCACCTCGGACGAGGTGCATATACTTAGCATCTACTCACCCCTGCCGAGCTATAACCCGTAGAAACTCGACGGATTTCCCTAAACCGTTGCGCAGCGTAACTCGGACTATATATATTAACGTAAGCCTCTGTGCACGTTGTAAGTACCCTGGGCAAATTACCGAATCATACCTCGAAAGTATAAATCCTTACCGAATCATACCCCTAATTATCGAATCATATCTCTACACCAAATCACACCCAAATATGGGGTATGATTCGGTAATTTGCCATTGCTTGGGGTAGCTTTCTGATATAAGAGAGTTTAATAAAGATAATGATAGCGGTAGGCTTACTGAGCGTCTGGTAGTAGTCGTCGACTTAATTATTAATGACGGTGGTATTTACGCTACGCAACGGGGTGGGGTTCGGGATGGGGTTCGAGGCGGGTTTGAAGCTTACCTCGCTCCGCCCCGTTACGCAGCGTAGTGGTATTGTTGGGAATTATTCCTTCGGGGGCCCTACGGGGCCCTACGGGGCCCTACGGGGCCCGAATAGGGGTGTCTACAGCGTGAAGTGCGGATACCCCCGGGCTCGATTTTCGCCCACTCGGCTTTCGTCTGATGTTTTTAGGCTGATGGAATTCTCAACAAATGCGGTCGGAGAAATTCCCTTATTTCTATGATCGAATAAGCCAGATCGCGGATTATCTCCTTCGTAGTTTGAGGCCACTTTGACAACTTACCAAATCATACCCCATATTTGAGTGTGATTTGGTGTAGGGGTATGATTCAGTAATTAGGGGTATGATTCGGTAAGGATCCATACTTTTGGGGTATGAATTAGTAATTTGCCGTAAGTACCCTCTAGTCCAACTAGATTCTCGAGGAACATGGAGAAGGAAGCTTTCTACGTTAGGTCTACGTATCATAACCTCGTAAAACAAAGCATCAAGATTCATAAGCTCGCGTGAAGTCCGCTGCGCCCACAGAAAGAAGTCTTGGCGCTCGGATCGGTTGGCTAGCCCGATTGAGAAACTTGGAAAGGCCTCCACAAACAAATCAAAAGCCTCATCTCGCGGGGGACGTTGAAACAACAAAGGTTCCGCGCAAACAGTCCAAGCTCGGCACATGATCTCGGCCAGATAAAGCCTTTCCGTCGGACGATGGTGCGGCTGGAAATGACAAATTACCAACCCAGTCAACCCCAGCATAGCCATTATCAAAAAATTAGCTATTATACTGACTACCAATCTGACTGTCAACATGCTTATCACTGAACCTTTAACTAATTCGTAGCCATGTGCGCTCGGATGGCTAGCTTCGAGCAACAGGCAAGGTCGAGCCGCAGTCCTGGGTTAGGTACCACACTGCAATTTCAGACCAACAATCTTCATCTCCAAGTTCGGTTGGCTAAACAGATTTGGAGACTGCTGAAACATTAGAGATGAGTTGCCTTCAAGCTCGAGGGATGTCGAACTTGGTGGCGCGATAGATAAATCTGATTGTCAAAAGGGGGGGAGGGGATGTATAAGAAGCCGCTTCGGTCTCGTATCTGCGCACCATCCTTTTCCAATCATTCTACCTATACTCCTCCTCCTTCTCCCCACCTTTGCATTATTGATCGACAATCATGTCACCATACCCTCTCGCCACAGCTCTGCTCTTGCCACGAGGCATCTTCAAACACGACAACAGCAACAGTAGCAGTAACAGTAACCAACACGGATCCAACCACCATGGGCTCAATCACACATGCCCAGTGCCGGATGAACAAGGACCGCGTAAGGACACTTCGACCGCCTAATCCCTACCATTCATCGCTGACCGGTGTGCCTTCTTCACCTAGTCATCGTTCCTCTGGTTGGCAGCATGACCTTCCATAGCGTCGGGCTCATCATCGCCGGAGCATTGATGGGGATTGCGTTCATCTTGTCATTTGGCCTGATGATAGCCCACGCGACGCATTTCTCGATGCCGCTGGAGCAGAAACAGTATGGGTCCACCTATCGATGCAATGGCACGCCAACCTCAGAAGAAGTTGTGCTCGCTAACCAACCACCTCTTCTGCAGGATCATACGCATAATCTTCACGATACCCGTCTTCGCCATACTCGCCTTTCTCGGCATCCTTCTCGAGTCGCGGGCCGTGTACCTGATACCGCTGACGCAGGTGTACGAGTCATTCGCGCTCGGCGGGTTCTTCTTCCTGCTGTGTGCGTGGATCCATCCCGATGGTGCGGAGAGAGAGAGGATCTTGAACCGGGAGGGGAAGTTGGGGATGTACAATGTAGGCTGGCCTGGGTAGCATATCCATTAAGGGCATGAAGACTGACGTGAGAGTTGACAGAGAGTGTGGTTCTTTGTGTTCCAGCAACCATTTGTCATGATCGTTCTCGTTGTGGTGCAAGAGATCACGCAGGCCGCAGGGGTGTTTTGCGCGACGAGTAAGAACATACAGTTCGCTCATGTCTGGGTAGGTGGATGTTTCCTTGTCTGGTGCTCGTGGTTGCAGCCTAGAAGGCGGACGTCAGGGCTCTGACGGGTAGACAGATATCAAGCTTTTCATCCGTCACGACAATCTTCGCAATAGGAGCGGTGCTACGATTTCATGGCGCTACGAAGCAGATGACCGCACAACAGAAACCCTTGCTGAAGCTCGTGTCATTCAAGGGGATAGTGTTCCTGTCTTGGATCCAGTCGGTACGTACATCCCTGACAGATTTCCCGTACTCGCAAGCCAACCCTCTCCCAGGCGCTCTTCTCCTTCCTGACCTCCAGCGGCCACCTGCACCCAAACAACCACCTTACCTTCCTAGACCTATCCGTCGGCATACCCGCCATGATTACATGTCTCGAAATGGCGCTCTTCTCCATGCTCTTCCTGTTCGCGTATCCGATTGGTCCCTACACCGCAAAGGGCCAAATCACCGGCCTGCTCCACGGGAGCGGTCCCACAAGCCATCCAGAATACGTGGGCGGTCCTCTAGGACTAAGTGCTTTGTTTGAAGCACTTAATATATTTGATTTGATTAAGGCTATGATGATGGCGCCGATAAGGCTAGGCAAGGGAAGGGCGATGATGATGAAGGAGCAAGCGAGTGCGGCGGAGGAGGATCCCAAGAATAAGGCTTATGAGGGCTGATATGACGACGGATGCGACCTCAAACCCAGGATGGAGCTCGGTCGCTGAAATTCGGATTTTGTGGAAGCAAAGGGTTGTGTTCTGTTGTTTGGGACTCAGGTCGAGATTGCGTGAGGCCCCCAAGCTTTGGCCTTCTGTTCAGTGTACTCATGAGTAGATCGAGATTTTCATTACTACGCTAGCAATCCAAACATTTCATTTAAACTAGAAGGGTTGCTCATACCGAATGCTATGACAGGCTTGTCGCTTCGTAAATTCCAAGCACGTTCCGAATATAGCCCAACCGTTTCATCATCCAATTTCTCTGTAAAAGGGTACCAAGGCCCTTACATACGATTAAGCGTAGAGGCCAGAGGAGTAGAAAGCCTCCGATGGCCTTCTTTTGTTGAGGTTGCCGCAAATTGCCTTCCTGATCAACCTCGCCGAGAAGATAAGAGACACTAGCACAGATATCATCGATCAGGTCTTCAATTCCTTGGGAAATTTGATCCACGGCGCAAGGGTTGTCGATCTTCAGTGGAGTTGGCTCCCAGGCAGTATACTCTCTTTGCCGCGAAGAACACTTTTGAAGACATTCTAGCAAAAGAATGCGCATGCAGCGATATTGGTTCCACATGGCCGCCATGGTGGGACTGGTGTAGAGATGAATTGAGGGTGGTGCCTGCAAGTCAAAGGCAGTTTTGGGAGGCGCAGACAATGGAGCTTCCATCTTCGCGAACAAGTAATATCCCGAGGCTTGTCCGCTCCACGTCGTCAATTTCATATCGAGTATGATAATAGCATCGATGATTTCATGCAACGCAGTCACTTGCACATAATCAATTGCAGCTTGCCGCAGCAAGTCGTCCGCATCGGCGAGCAAGTGACACGTTTCGCAGGCGAGGCCCCCGAATTGCCTTGAATAAGGATCTCGACGAGGGTCTCTTCCCATGAACTCGGCTTCCTTGCTTGGTCGTATCTTTCGCGTAAGATTCCTTATTGTCTAAAAGGCTGTGAGTCAGCAATATCGTCCCACTGTGGTGCAATCACATACCAAAGTATTATGCGCGTTGAACGATAAATACGTGGAGCTAGAGGATTCGACTTGCTCGGGACGTCGCATGCGTAGAAGACTTTCCAACACATCAACATGGGAGGACCATAATGCGCAGGGGGATGCAAGCTTTTCTCCGCTGACTAACTACACTCGGGGTTAGACGGCTGGAAAGCTATGCAGGCGCCCCAGAGAGCCAAAGTTACCTCATAATATCCCAGACAGAGAATTGTTGCAAGAACGGGGTCTTCCTTAAGGTTCTCCTGCTTACGCAGAGCCTCGGCAATCAGTGACAGCGCTCTGCCATAGCGCCGTCTCGCCTGCGGTACTAGATATTCCAAGCTCGACCGATGAGCAAAACTTATCAGTGCAACTGCTGAAACAGCTTCTTCAAAGGCAGAAGTGCCATGTTCTTTGCTCAGTAGGTCGGGCAGACCATGAAGGAAGCCAAAGCAAACTTTATCGTCGCTTGGTTTGATCACATAATCGTGGAAAAACATGCAGACTGACTGAGCGTGCCAGTCTGCAGGCATTGGCGCACCAATAGATGAAGTGCGACGCGAACTGATAGTAGTGGGGAGAGGCTGCTGTCTCCGATGCTCGTCCACGTCGACGCTGAGGGTATTTCGAAATATGAGGTCAGTCGCGGTTGGATAGCCTGAGCATAGTCTGCTGTTTCTTCGACATCGACGACATTCTGGAAGGCCTTGATCACACTTGTAGATGAAATCTCGATCAGCCTCAAGCTTGAGCAGCGTATCAATGCCAGAGGTGTGTGTACCTTTACCTTGCGATCTTTGCAAGGCTGACAGCCGCGACTTGGTTTGCCGACGTTGGGCATGATGGAGGCAGGGACGTGGGAATAATTGGTGAAAGGTGCCACAACTGGCTTTAATATGTGCGAATGGTAAAGGGTGTATGTATGGAGCAATGGGGACCAATGCGATGGGGGTTTATATGGGTGGTGAGGGTATGAAAATATTGTGCCTGATCTACACGTGGCTGTGTTCCCTTGCTGCCCCAGCCACAAGATAGTCACTGCCAAGACTCAGCCGCAATGCACCTAAATCAGAAGATCATCTAGGTCTTGGCACCATCTCGAAAGTTAATTCGTCCATTTCGAATCAATTCATGCACTTCAGAAGACGGACTTTTCAATGGTCACGTCTCGATTCTTGTCAATCTCTCCCCCTCTCCCTCAACGCGTCGGTCGCACCGGCGGTACAGAAGTGAAAATAGAATTTTTTTTTTTTGAACTTTCTGACACGAGTGGACTCCCACGCCCGTCGTCAATCTTAATGGCTAAGACACGGCTCTCGATACATGCCACCGCTACCACTCTGGGCTACTTCGGCGCTTCGATATGGAGCTCCAAGAGAAAATGAACAACTGGGGAGAATGGAATTCCTCTCGACCGCTACCGCCGCCCCTCAATATTTCAGTTGGAGAAATCGCAACTACGCAACCCGTCTAGCTAAGCAACACTAGAAACCAAACAATCGACCCAAAGCGTCGCAAGTTAGACGGGTCCATGTGCTGTGACATCCTGAGCGCTAATGTTGAGCCTCCATGGTAGAGGTGGCCGTGTAAGAATGACAAGCTGCAACTAAACTCCTTTCGCTGGTAAGTGTACCTTTGAGCACTACAAGGCTCGTCGCTAGCTTTTTGAATGGTCTGGAATGGGAGCGCCTTCAAGTGCAGGTGCCTCCAGGGTTCTCTCAATAGGGTCACGACTTGCTTCACCGTGCGTGCTTGAACAAGTGCACTTTCGGCGATCGCTGATGGATGATTATACCGGGGTGACAAGGCGTTGGGAGGCACGGTCAACATTTCCAAGTTCACCCGTAGATTTGGGATGGTTGAGGCATCTCTTCGAGGACTGTGGGACGACACATCTCAAGATGATTGCGTAGGAGTCACTACCGTCAAGGTGGCTTACTTGTGGATACCCAGCATCCATAGCTCCCAGACTGGATGACGGCTCTTCAAAACAGCTTACTTTCGCCAGCACCATACCTCCATTTACAGACCGATCTGCCATGCTTACTCCTGTAACGACTACCATGATCCAGTAAACAGAAACTTCCTGCTTGCTCTCTCTGCAATTCAAGTCTGTCACGCACAGCTTCTTTACATGTGCATGTCACGGGGTGAAGTCGGCCCGTAATATTAAGAATTGCTGAAGTTTTCGCCAGGATCTTCGTTAAGCGAGTATTTATGTGATATTCCTTATTATTTTATTATCTTATCCCTTAAGAAATCTTAGGTATCTATTTATACTTTCTTCCTTAGCTTCCGTCTTATACATAGATCAGACCCTAAAAATTAAAACTATAACTAGTGATAGTCAGCATCCCAGCCTCAGTCCTCAACACTGGAAAGAAACATTAAAAAATGTGAGAAAGTAATCGTCCAAATGTTACCCTAGCAAGGTCAAATTGCAACAACGGCCAGATCTTTTGATTTGCGAAGTGCTTCAACGCTGAGAGTAGAATTATTTAGAGAGCAAAGTTATACAATCTCGGTCAACAGACTTCGAGCTCCTGGCGACCTACCCCATCATGAAACTCTCTCTTAAAACCTTTGCAAGAACCTTGGCGCTATTGAGATACTCATCTTCTTGCTCGGGACGATGTGATAACCTGGACCCGGAAGAGTGTGCAATGATATTTCATCTCGCCGCCTAGGATACCAGAACACGCGGAGAAACCAGCCTACGGCATTCTTCAAGCCAACACTCCAAGTGATAGTTGAAGCTAACGATCCATTGATACAGCACTGCACCCAAGGTCGCCGAGGCGTCATGAATTATGGGCGTACAGAGTGTGAAAAGGTTTTAAAATGGCCTTTACCGAACTTGAATCTATGCTAATTGTGAAGGTTCTCTTGTTTCATCGGAGCTGATGCTATCTCCTATAATAATTATACTTTATACCTGTTGTTCAAAGCAACAGCAAGTGATCAGATTAAATAGTCTCAGTGTGAGGGTCTTGCTGTTCAATTGCAAGTAGCGATAAGTGTCCAAAATCTTGAGACGAGTTAGAGGAGATGCGGAAAGATGGGAGCTAAGCACAGAGCAAGCAAGAATACAGCTCCGTGGAAGCAAGCTGCAGCGTATGGGACCATCTCATACCTTGGCATATACGACAGTACTATTAGCCTACAAAACAATCTAGACGAGGATAGCTAAGCTTTGCGACACACACTCGCGGTACTGGCCAGCGGTCTAATTCTAGAGAGCTACCATGGCTGACTCCAATGATGGCTTTGAAGTTTGAATGGGTTTCACGTCTTTCAAGTCGTCCGAGTTTAGCGCGGGCCAACTTGACATGAGACAGGTGCTGCACGCATGAATGGAAGAGTTGAGAATGCACAATCTCGCATCAAAAAGAGAGGGGCAACGGATCATGACATTGAACCCATCAACGCTGAGACCTTGTTGGACTGATATCACGAATGTTGTTCTCTAAATGCTTTTGCTTTCTGGTATCTGGTCATGGGTCGCAGCACATTTTGCAGCCGAGAAAATACTTCCGCTTACATCGCGCAACGTGTTCCATGACTAAACTCTCTTCTTGATGAAAAATTGCTGAATCACAGACCTCCAGGCGGCATGCTTTGAGGGTGGACCCGCCGTAGAAGCTTGCGTCTGAGACTATCATGGCTTTTTAGCTGTCTGTATGTCGTTTTGTTCCTGGCGACACAAAGGTTACTTCGTTGTATCACATTCGAGAAAACTCGGAGGCGGCTGGAACTTTTCTCGAGACTGCGCGGGTCTTGTTTTTCCACTAGTGAGCTGCGCTTACAGGACTTTGGTGTGATGGCAATTTCGTATGTTAAGCCCCTGGTCGTGCTACACCCTTATCTCAAGATCCAAGCGCCACAAAGAGTATCTTGTTTATTCGAGAGTCTTAATTTCTGAAGGATCGCTAGGAGGTGTGAAGAAATCGGTCTTTGTGCGCTCCAT